TCTGTATTTTTAGTCACTGTAATACTGCCACCTAAAACTAACAGAAATAGTTACTCCTCAGGAGCTTTAATGGCATTTTTAACAAGCAGGATTCTGGATTAGAACAGGGTTGACACTGTTCCTAACCACATGGGCGTCTGTCTGCCATAGTTAAGTCAGCTAATAAGAAGATCTAGATGCACCTTCGTGTCCTTCGAGAGCAGATGTCCACTCTGCACAACAAATGATCTTTCCTTTGGCCTCCAGTTCATCGATTCCTTTCAGCACATACTGAATCCTAAAATATTTCATGGGTAAAAAAATACCAAAGATGCAGGTACATTAGAAATAAATAAAACATTCCAACTTGTAACACCTAATACCTCATCAAAAGTAATAGCAACTTGTATGTTAACTATGAACCTTTTTTCCAGGGACATCTAGGGGACAGACAAGTATGTTACTGGATGTTATCCCGGTTAGTGCAAACAGCTTCTCCAGGGATTTATTTCTTCTGCTGCATCTGACTGTTCAGGYGGCTGCAAGGAGAAARAAAAAAAAAAATCCAACCCCCTGCAACTATAATATAAAGCCAGCAAAATTCTGAAAAATTATACTGCTATACTCTCAAATAGTAAATTAAATGGCTGAGAGCAGATTTTGGCCAAAACCAACACAAATAATATAGCAAATACAGCTTTGGAGGAGTGAAAGTGGCTTCAGACATATCAAACCAACCGCAAAGGAAAATATTTACTTATGTTTTTTAGTGGTGTGGTACGATATGCTGTTACAKGAGAATTTAATTGCTTTAATGGTATGGCAGATGATGTAGCAAGACAACATGAACAGCGCAGGTCAGTCATAATAGCAGAGTTCATACCTGTAGTATAAATTATCAAAATGACATTTAAGAATCATATTTGCTATATAAACCATATATGCACCACAAGATGTTAGACCTATCTCAGTGCAGATTATCGTATCAATTTGAATTAGCTACAAAGTTCCCAGCTATCTGCACTCATGAGTTTTTAATTGATACAGAAATCAATTCATTAAAAAAGAGCAGCTTTTAACTTTAATCCATCTGCATGAAACCACCGACCTGTACAATGAGGCAGATACAAATATTAATGACCATCCAGCAATAGGATAATGAGTCAATAAAGATTTTAAACGGTGTGAGCTTGAACAATTACCGACCTAATAGGCAGATAAATAAGACTGTTTGACTTTACCTGGACAAAACGATTATTCTTAAGCAGTTACTTTGAATGACCTGAACAAAACAYGGAGTTTCTCCCCTCCTGGCACTTATTGGTACAAACGTCTGCTGCTCCCAATTTTCACAGCTACAACTGCCCCTTTCTGCTCTGCTTATTGGACATGAAACTCTTGGCAGCTGCATTTGATCAGTTAGAGATCTGTTGGGCTCTCTAATATACCGAAAATTTCACAGCCAAAGCTGCCGTATGATTCCTGTGCTACCCATGGCTGCGAGGAAGAGCTCCCGCGGCCTCCTCCCGACRAGCAGACAAGTCACATTAACTGCAGAGATGTGGAAACCCCTAACGAGGAACAAGGGCTGAGACATCTCCAGTATTTGCAGARGAAAGCCTCTAATACGGAGCATTTAGCCCCAGGCCAGAGCAATGCCGTTGTTTCAGTGGCAAATTTCTGACATTACCATAAGTTAAATTGTGATTTGTTTTGCCTCCATATGGGAAGCTTCAGCAAACACAGTGACAAAGTTATTTAATAACATCCTAAAGCCTGACTAAAATAAAGCCTAAAATCCTAGAAGAAATAAAAACAAACGTCAAAAGCATCAGYGAAGCTGTGATACAGATACTATTAAATATGTCCTGCTTTTTAAAGAAATGATCCACTTCCAGGCAGTAATTACAGGATTGTTACTATTTCTGTTTACTTTGGCCATGGCCGCAGGCCTCGGCGCGACTCAGGGCTCCTCTGCACTGAGCAACATATGGACTAAGCATATGAGATGGTCCCCTAAAGCACTCACAGTCCAAAGAAATGAAGAAATAAAAGTCCCACTGGTAAGGCAACGAGCCCTGGCACAGCAGACCTATTTTTGCCATAGTTGTAGGGAAAGTTTCTCGTACAGTCTGCACAGGAGCCGCGCAGCTTGTGCTGACGAGTCCATCCCCACCCACGGATAYCGCAAACACAGCGGGATGGGCTGGTGGTCCCAAGCACTGGGTTGGCTGCGGGAAAAGGCTCCCCCTTCCCACCCACACAGCCGGACAACAGCCCAGCAGCCAGTGCTCCCAAACCCCTGGTGTGTGGCCAAAGCAGGGCCAAGGACAGTGCCCTGGTGCCACCTCACCTGCCATGCAAGGCACCGCACGGCACCATCTCCACAGGGCCTCCACTTCCCCTGGAGATGAGATTGCCCCCCTGCTCCTGGGCCAAGCAATCAGAAAGTACCAGTCAAGAAGGGGTGACACACTATGACAGACACTATTCCTGGAGGCTGATAAGATGTGTTGTCCTCGAAGATGAACAGCAGCAGCCACTCAGGCAGACCTGATGGCACATGTCAACCCTGCTCTCTCGAAAAAATCCTATTTCTCAGARGACCCGAGTGAGAGAGGCCCTTGCACGGCTAAGTCAGGAAGGTTTAATCCTGCCAGAGCTCGCACCTGGCACCATGCACACAGAGAGAGCACCAAAGTGTTTCCTTTTCTACTATTCTTTTCTTCTCAGGTCTCTCTGAAATCCTGAGCCAGTAGCAGCGCTGCAGGGAAGCGATAAAAACAGAGATGGCACTAAAAACACTGCACAGAGAAAGAGTCTAGGAATGGAAACAGAAGCACGTGAGGTGACATGGAAAACCCACACACCGCAGTATGTTAATACTGTATCTTTAAATAAGTACTTTTGCCTCTGCCAAATATCACCAAATTCACAGGGAGACCCATCAAGGTCTTTGCATCACCTGTGACTCTTTCATGGCCAGATCCCACAATCAGACAGAACAACACGGCAACCTGCGTGCAACCCTCTGGGGCAGGACAGACCCTCTGCAAGTCTTAGGATCACCTGAAATACTGCTTTCCAACAGCRCTGACGAAAATCTGCGTAGAACACAATAAAGGATTCATTGGATTAAATTTTATTTGCCTTAAAAGGTGTGTTCTGTAGTTCTGCCTTCTCCATCTCAGTTGTACAAATGTCTTAGGCACAACATTAGTTTTACGGATTTCAGTATTTCTTCCCCAATATTTCCCAGCTTGGCGAGGGTCTCAACCCAGGTACATCCGTGTTTGCTGCTCCTGGAGGACACCAGGATGTAGGAGCCTGCCCAGCAAAGGCAGCACTTAACACTACTCCAAAGTTTCAACATTTAAGCCATTCCGAGTCACTTACACATTATTTTGCACTTTGCCACATTAAACAAATACAGTTTTACTGCAAGGGGTTATTGATATGTATTGATATGTATCATATACCCTAAATTTTCTTTTGGTCCCCCACTGATCTCCTCCAGTGCCATAACTACACTGGTTCACACTTGTCTTTAAACCAAAAAGAGCCAGCCCAAACACAAAAAGAAAGTTGATAAAAAAGTGTGCCACCACAACAACTTTTCCCAAAGGATAAATGGAAAAGTCTCCCAAAGTGAAGCAACCAGCTCTGTGCAGCAACCACAAGATCTGCACACAGAGTTAACCCACCTCTGAGTTAGGACTCCATTAGGACACCCAGCTAGCTGCAGACGACATGCTCTCTACGAGCGCCCGAATAACCGCCGTCTAACGGCCGCCCGGGCCCGGGCCGGCCCGCCAGCGGCGGCCGCAGGGCCGAGCGCCGCCACACTTACCTGCGCACGGCCTCGACCGAGCCGGCGATGGGCGCCCCGCCGCCGTCGCCGCTGTCGTAGAGCACCCCGCTCACGTCGAGCAGCAGCGCCCGCGTCCCCCGCCACCGCGCCGCCATGACACCCGCCCCGCCGCCTTCCCGGGCCGCCGCGCGGGGCGCGCTGGGAAATGTAGTCCGGGCCCAGCTGCGCGCGCGGGGCACGCCGGGAAATGTAGTCCCGCCGGCAGGGAGAGGGAGCGCGTCCCTGGTGCTGCAGAATTTAATWGAATTAAATTAAATGAAAGCTTAAGTTAGGGCTATAGTAAATAGGGCCATAGGCCTATTTACCCTGTCGGAATACCTATGTCATATTTTCTTCCATGTAATGCGAAACGTCGCAGCAAGCGGAGCTGGCGCGGTGCCACCGCACGAAGCTTGTTTCGAGGACACTGATGATSAACCCTGAGATCTCACAACCGTTTTCTTTATTTGACCCCCCTGCCGAAGTGCTCTGTCCGGAAAGCGTGGCTGCTGCTCTTCCCTCTCTGCATCTTGCCCCTCGCTTAACTTTAAATGTCCCCAAACCACTTCAGGTAGAGCGGCGCCTCCCGCTCCGCCACCTCCTTTATCCGCTTCCAGCCGCTGGACGGCGATTCCCTCCCTTCCCAAGCGCGCAGCATCCCGCACAGGGGCCGGCCGTGCCGCGCGGACCCGCAAAACCCGCAGCAGCGACCGAGTCCTTGGGGTCCCCTTCCCGCTCTCCGTTAGGAGCTGAGCCTTGGCGGGGACACACGGGAGACCGCCGCTGCCGCCCTCCTTCCCACCCCGCATCCTCCTGCGGGATGCGCTGCCGGGCGGGAAGTTTCGGCGGGCCCCGCTGTGATGGGAAGGGGCTCCGGTGTGATGGGAGGGGGCTCAGGTGTGATGGGAGGGGGACCTCAATGTGATGGGAGGGGACCCCGGTGTGACGGGAGGGGGACCCCGGTGTGATGGGAGGGGGCTCCGGTGCTGCCGCTTCCCGCCTCCCAAACCGGGCACCCCCTCCCCGCGGAGGAGGGGTGGGAGGGGGGGCGTTGCCGTGCCCAGGGCGGCGCTGCCCCCTCCGCTCCGCTCCGCTCCGCTCCCGCCGCACTCGGCTCCGCTCCCGCCGCGCCGGGCGCAGCTCCCGCCGCTCGCAGGGTGCCGCGGCGGGGATGCTCGCATGTCCGCCCGGCGGGGCCGAGGCGGCCCCCGCGCACCGTAAAATCTCCTTCTCCGTCCTGGACATCCTGGATCCGCGCAAATTCACCGGCAGGAGCGAGGCGGGGCGCGGCGGCGCCGGCGCATCCCGCTCCCCGGAGCGCGAGGAAACTTCGGCGGGCAGCGGGAACGGTAGGAACGGGGCACCCCCTTCTCCCCCCGGAGGCAGCGCCGCTCCATCCCGCTGGGAAACGCGCTGCCAAACGGAGGGAGAAGCGGAGCGCGGGTCCGGGCGCGCGGCAAGCGGGACGGGCGCGCGCCCCGGAGGCACCTGCCGCGGCGCCGGGCGCGGTGCCGCCGTCCCCGGCCGCGGGCCGGACAGCGGCGGGTGGCTTCGCGGGAGCCCGGCGGAGGATGCCGGGGCTGCGCGGGTCGATATCCCATTAGCCAGGGCCGCCTATCTCCCGCGCGCAGCTTGCAGGTCCCGCCGCGCTCCTCCCGCGCGGCCTCATCCCAATAGCGCTCGATTAAAACTCACCTTTAATAGATGACACCTATCGATCGGGCCCGCGCAAAGCCGAAACTCCATTAGCGCGGGGACGGGGGAAGAGAGGAGGAGGGGGGGGGATTTATTTCGCTCCAGCAGGGCACTTTAATAACTTCTTTTTTAATTGCTAAGAAATCCATATCGACACCCCCCTCCACACGCGCTGTCCCCCCGTGTCGCCGCGTCGCGGGGGGGTTCTGACCAGCGCCGCCCTCTCTTCCCACCCCCTAGATGCGCCCTGCGCGGCGGAGCAGCGCGACGAAGGCAGCGCGGAGCCGCCGCAGGAGCCGCGATCGCCGCGGGCCGCCCGCGGGCGCCGGGCCGGGCCGGGCTGCTCCAAGCGGCGCCGGGCTCGAACCGCCTTCACCTACGAGCAGCTCGTGGCCCTGGAGAGCAAGTTCCGCGCCACGCGCTACCTCTCGGTGTGCGAGCGCCTCAACCTGGCGCTCTCGCTCAGCCTCACCGAGACGCAGGTGAAGATCTGGTTCCAGAACCGCCGCACCAAGTGGAAGAAGCAGCACCCGGGCGCGGAGAGCGGCGCGGGCGCGCAGGGCAGCCCCGGCGCCGCCGCGCTGCCCCTGCAGACTGTGCCGCCCTTCGGCGCGGCCAACGTGCTCCTGCCCGCCGGGCCCTTCGCGCTGCGCGGCCCCTTCGCGGGCCCCGCGTACCTGGGGCCCTTCTACGCGCCGCACCTGTGAGGCGCGGGGGGCGCGCGCGGCCGGCCCTGCGCCGGCCTGGGAACGCGCTCCGCCCGCGCCTGCTTTGGGACCCGCACCGAGGAGGTGACGCGCCCGGCCCGGCCGCCACCGGCACCGGCACCGGCGCGAGCCGCGGAGCCACCTGAGCGGACACGTCCGGCCCGGCCCGCGCGCGGCGCTCGGCGTTTTGGACCGTCCCTTCACGCATCCGGCGGTCCCGCGGCCCCAACAGAGCCCCGGGGCGGTCGCCTCGCTGCGGGGATGTCCCCAGCGCCCCTCGTCCCCGGCACCGCTCGTGGCCTCACGCAGGGCGCTGGGCGCCGTGTCCCCAGGAGGAGCAGGCGGCTCCGCGTCGTCCGGAGGGGAGGACGAGACCCCCAGGTCCCAAGGAAGTCGCTCCGTTGTCACTAACCTGTACTCGCCTCTCTGCCTTCCCATTCATTCCCATGGACTTAAGGGGGTGCGAGGAAACCCTTCATCTAGAGATCACTCTTTCTGCGGAGAACAGTTGTTCTTCTAATAACATAGGATTAGTGCCAAATGAGGCAGAAAAGAAAACATAAATCAGAGCAAATTGCTGCATTATTCATTTTTTAATGGGGCATTTGTGGTAGAAAATAAGTAAAATGCAGAATTTCCAGCATGCAAAGACCTATTTTCCATAAGAGAGGAATACGTGTGGTTTTTTTTTTTTTT